CACCTATGGATTTTTGTGTTTTCGGACTGTTAAAAACTGCATTATCTAAACGTTGTCCCAAAAACCCTAACAGGACTCTGGAAAGCTGTTCAGTAGGAATGGGATAAAATATCCCTTCTGCCACTTAAAAAGGCATTATTATCCTGGAAATTGCGGTGTCGACAGAATAAGGTATGTCAAATAGAACATTTAAAACACAAGAATTTTATGTAATTTAGTTTTGTGAATACAATATACATCGTCTAAAAAATGTGTGAACAGCCTTTGTACATATGCAAGTTAACCACAAATAACCAGTTGCTGATCCATATATGGATCCACACACAGCTAAATCACCAGCTAAATTCCTACCTCACTGGCAACTGGAAGACGGGATGCAAATAGTTTCAGGAATATTAAATGAAATTCGCAATTTTATGCATCCTGTATAATCTGAAATTAATACAATACAATTTATTTCAAATGTCTTTAAACACAATTTTGCATCGTCTCACTTTTTGTCAGAATTTGTTAAGATTTCGAAAAAAGATAAAGCATCATTATTTTATATTTAATCTGTCATTAATTAACAAACTTAACTATTTAAAATCAACAGATGAAGTTCTTAGAGACTTTTTTTTTTTTTTTTTAAATTTGATTTAAGGGGTGTTAGAACCCCAAAATCTTCAAAAAATTGTGATTTCGGATTTTTGCATTTTCAAATTCTCTACACTTTTATCTTTCTAAAAATACCATTCTTTAATCTCTATGAAAGTTAGAACTGTAAAAAAAATCTAGTTTTAATTTGTCATCTACTGCTTTGATCAATGAGGATTTTTACATAAAAACGCGTTTTTCTCCAAACGTGATTTTTTATACTCGATGGACTTTTTCTCAGGAACTACTGCTCACAGGTATCTAAACTTTTTATGGCTTACTTATTAGCTTCTTTAATATTTACTGAAATAAGCTTTTTGTAATAAATTTAGAAAAAAGAATTTTTTAAATTTTTTTGTGTGAGAAAAGTGCTAAATTTTACTATGCCCAACAAAATATTCTGTAATTTACTCTAAAACTCAAAATGCTTCAAAAGCTAATTTCAGTATAATTAGATAAGTATACTTTAATTACAGAAAAAATTTCAAGCTTGTATCAAGCCACCAATTTAACATTGTCGGTATAGGGGTTTCTCATACTCCTTAAATAGAAATGCATTCAATTCCTGATATATCTAATAAAAACATCTTTTTCACTTTTTAAATCTACAGAACACATCTATAACATTCTCATCTTAAGTCTAAATCCATATTGATCTAAATAACCAGTAAAATAATCTGCTATTCCACCTGGACTATTTCTATTGATAATTTCTACTAATAAACCATACTAAACTTTAAAAGAGAACTTTCGAGTGGTCATTAAAATTTGAATTATTTCAGATTTCCTTTAATAAGTTTTAGGATTAATTTTTTTCTACTTAAAAAATTTTCTTCTTATGCACTTTAAAATTAATTAACTTTTTAGATTCTAATAGATTTAATATAATAGTCAATTTTTCTATGAAGGTTTACATATCGCAACAATTTTAACTAGTTAGATTTCGCACCAGCATTTATGTTTGCAGCTAAGTGTCATTCCATTAGCAAAAAAGTACTCAAAAATAATAGATATCAGCAGAAATAATTGAAAGACCAAAAGTTTAGTAAAGTTCAAATGGATATTAATATTTATTTGCTACTGACATTAAGAGAACAATATGCCACATATTGCTGATCAAAAGATGCAAGTTAATTATATTATATACTTTTCAGCAAGCATAAATGCATGCAATGAATGCACTTGGGTTTATAGTAATATGAACTATATAACCAATGAGTTATTGCAAAATTTTTATAGTCCACCTGCGAAACGTAAATACTCTTGTCAAGTACATCAGTATTAGAAGATTGACAGTTGAAATGTGCTTTACCATAAAAGAATTCTACATATATTTTTAAACTAGACCACAGCTAATTTTAATACTTCATTTAAACTTGACTACTCATTATGGATGGTTCAATAAAATAAAACTAATACAAAAACACAATATGTGAAATGTCTTAGTTAAACTTAGACAACTCATAATTGCAGTTACTTCTATAATTTATTATTATCAGCCAAACCCAGATATTCAAGCAAAATTCCATATTTTGTAAATCCAGAGGAAAATGCTTTTTAAGAATTTTATAACATAAGCATAACATAGTTAAAAAGAATAGGGATCAGAATTAGGTGTGAAAAATATCTGGATACTTATGTATGAAAAAACAGATACAAGTAACTTTGTTGCTAATACAATAGGTATTGTGGAACTAACAAATAACCTACCAATAAAGCATTCATTGCAAAAAAATAAACAGTACTTGCATTTGCCCAGTTATCTACTAAGGCACACAGAATAAAAGTATGAATGAGTTGTGTTGTTCTTAACTGCCACAGAAACATACATGAAAAAGTATGGACCTTTTCTATCTACGCTTCATTTTAATGCCTAGGTCATATTTCATGCAGAACTGAAGAAAAAATTAAAGTAAGGAAAAGAAAAGTAAGGAGAACTTCAAAACTGAATACGAGTAGAATAATAATGCTAGGTACAGCAGTTAACAGAATGTTAACTTTATATAATTAATTAATTAATATAGGTCATTAATTAATGACTTTCACTTTTAATTATTTTAATCAATTTTACTTGATTTATGAACTTTATAAAGTTTTATTGGTTATTTTTCACTGAAAATATAGTGTAAGAAAGATTTGAAAAATGAAGATGCAACACAAATCATTATGCAAATATGCAAGTTAAGACTCCCAACAGAATCACAATGTCCATGAGGAAAGAGATGCACATTAAATCCCCAGTTACAAAAAAAGATACAACTCCACAGTAAGGTTACAACCGTTTAAATTTTGAAATAAATGCAGAAACTACTCAGCATTGAGGAAAGAGATGCACATTAAATTCCCAGTTACAAAAAAAGATACAACTCCACAGTAAAGTTACAACCGTTTAAATTTTGAAATAAATGCAGAAACTACTCAGCATTTTTAATGAAAACACTAACATTTAATTATTTCACCACAGCCATAAAAAACTAAAAATTTACTTCAAAGTGCAGCATTCTGGAATTTCATGTATTTTAACAAACTTTCAGAAATAATAACTATATTTAAAAAACGAATTACTCCCGTTAGAATCTCTTCACATCTTTTAACTTTTTTGTAATTATTTAAATTACGTTTCTAGTAAAACAGGTTTTTTTTTTCATAACTTATGGCCCTATTACAAAAGTTGATGTGGAAGCAATCTTCAGATTATGAATACTTTTTATCCTACTAGCATCATGGTTCCCAAGTTTGTAAATAAAATGTGGAAATGATTATATTATCTGCACAAAATTTCAACAGGCAAATATTTCAATTTTGTAATCAAAGATTTATAAATATACAAACTCTTCCCCAAATATACTGTATGCATATTTACTTTTCCCACTATATAGATTTTAACTATTCATTCTTGTAACTGCTCCTTCAAACAATTTTTAATGCCTACTCATCTATACTCATCTAGATTCAGTGATCAATCAACTAAAACTCATAAAAATATGGTCTAACAAAATATACAAAACTAAGCTATCATCAAAAATCTTCCTTTCTGCAACAAATGTTCTCACACTAGAACTAAAAAGTACCAAAATTCAATTTTAGACAAAAATACATCAAATGCTACTTATGGTGTTAATTGCTTCATTTATATGTATATTATGTTTTACACATCGTAATTGATGTTACAGGTTTATGAATTTCAATTTCAAAAACATATGTTCTATTTATATATATTATTATACATACATACATAAACCATACCTTGATACTGAAAAAAAAAAAATCTATTTGCAAAAATTTTTCCGAGAATCAATTCAATTTTCTCCGAGAAATGAGAATAGACATGAATGAAAGAAACAGGACAACTATCATACATTCCCCAAAAAAAAAAAAAAAAGGATGAAGTAATGCTTATTTTTGAGTACTTGCTCAATGAATGTTACATGTGATCCAAGCAAGAATGAACTACATGGTTAGGTTTTAATTACAAGTGTTACCTTAAGCATAAGAAAATGGAAACTAAGTAGCAAAAAGTTAGTTTGAAGTACATAAATAAAATGCGCAGCAAAATAAAGAATGTTTTTAGGACTTCATTATATCCTTAGTCATTTCACAGAAAAACAACAAATTATCGAATGAGATGGATAGACCAGAAAAGATGAAACTAAATATCTTGCATTAGCTGAGACTTAAGTGATACTAGTAGTGATAATGAAGTTCAAGTGATAAACAAAACAACTTAGAGTTTCAAAATGAAGATATTAGTCTTTTAAAGTCTTAAATCATATAAAGACAATTATAATAAATTGTTTTAAATTTACTATCTGGAAATATAACATTCACAATAATTTTGTTAAAAAATTAACTGCAGCTTAGACATGCATAAAAATGGCACTTCAATGAACAAATTTATCAATGCTTTCTACACTAGATACTCTCATGTTAAATTCGATAAGTATATTACATTTCTAAACCGCACAAAATTATGCTACATCATGTCTTAAAACTTTACTAAAACAGCATTCTCAACAAACCTCACAACGTAATTCAAATCATTTATTCAGAACTTCGTACTGAAGGAATGTGAATGAGTAATAAATAAGGAAACTATATTATACAAGATAAAATTTGTTCAAAATTGTTGATAAAAGTGTTTCTCTTATGTATTTTGAACATGCTATCACATTTTAGACAACTGCACTAAATCTTACTATCCTACATGAAAGCATCTAGTTATATAAATAGCAAAACAAATAAACTTGAGAATTAAGTTAGAATGTCTTATCACATCTAACTTTTCAAAAATACAAATCAAGATCAAATGCAGATGAATGTTAGATTATGCAAGACCTATCTTTTTATTTATATAATTATATCAATATATATTTACCTTGAACGTGAATGAGAACTAGCTGGTGTAGGGGAACGCTTCTTAGGTCGCCTTGAGCGATTGTAGCTGGGTGAGCGCACTTGACTAGGTGTTCTTCGACGGCGTCCCCAACGACCTCGAGATGGACTGCGGCTTCTACTGTAACTATACCTAAGAAATACATAAAATATAGACTAAAGAAATGGGATAAATGAAAAACATTTATGACTGGGCATCAGATGGCCCCTGTGCAATACTGCAGCACATATATCTCAGAATACATTAAATGTATCTGCACTTTCCTCATCACTTGCCCAAAACATTATGATATTTATATGAAAATATCAATGCAGCAAAACAGACATACATACATATTTACCACACAATTCAATATCAAGATAAAAAAATAATTTAAATTCGTATTTTTCACGGAGCATTCCTATTTACTTATTCAAATATTTCTTTCAGATCTGTCAGTCTTCGATGACTAACACTGACACAACAGTTGCTGGGTTATAAATCAAGTAACGGTAAAAATGAAGAAAATTAAAAACAACTTCAAGAAATTAATATGAGGCCGTTTTACTGCTTCTCAGACAGTTTAAATAATTTGGCAAGACCGTTTTATTGCTTCTCAGGCAGTTTAAATAATTTGGCATTCTTATAAGGAGAAACATTATGGTGTTACTTGGTCGATATGTATATGTATTAGTGCAACCAACTTCGAAGTTCAAAATTTTCAAAATGTGATAACCTCTGACACACACTCTGTAGAACTCCAAAGACTTAGTAGGCCACTTTGGAATACATTTTATTTTGGTGGGCTGCAATGTATATGTGTGTGAATTTCTTTAGCTGACAATCTAAACTAGAATACATTATTAAAACTGAATACATCATTATATAGTTTTTATGATACAATTCGGTTTCGGGGGACGTAAAAAATTGCAGCGAAAATGCATGCGCAAAAGCACCAAATCTAGCAAACTCGCCCATTAAACAGCATGCCAAATCGCGCTGATTTTAAATTGCGTTAAGTTTTAGATAGTTCGACATTTGTAAGTCGCCATTGAAATACTAGTTTAATTTTTTAATTCTCTTTATGATAAAGCTATGGATTTTACAATTTGGGAATTGCCGAGTAAAGAAAAGTCTGCAATAGAATTTTCAAAAAAAAAAAAAAAAAAAAGCATCATTCAAATGAAAATTGTTTGAACAATCATGAGATGAATCTTTATCGATAACTCAGTAGCAAATGGTGGTGCAGGAAGAAACCTTTAATGAGAAGAAAGGTTGAGATTCAAATGTTTAAGATTTAAAACCCCTTCCTTACAGCCGTTGGTTCACTATTTTTTAGTGCAGGAAATGACATTTGTTGAATTTTGTGAACTCCAGCTCATGATGAACCACAGTACAGTTTTAGACTGAACAGTTACATGGGAGGTTGTGCCTCACTTTAATTGCTCGGCCGAAGTCTAAATTGCGGATGTGGCAAATTATTGAAGTACGAACGCTTTTCAGTAAAAGAAAGACATGTGGACGGTTCTTCCCACAATGGGTTTTCGGTGGATTATGCAGAGAATCAAATGAATGTTTCTTAGTCGCTGTTACAGATCGATCGGCGAAAACCCTATTGAACATCATAAAGGATAATATTGCAGAAGGAAGCGTTATTTATACTGACTGCTGGAAATTATAAAAGTCAGAAAAACTGAAAGATGTCGATTTTGAACACTTTACTTTCAACCACAACTACAATTTTGTGGACCCGGAGAGTGGGTGTCATACACAAACAGTAGAATGGCTGTGGGTCAGTGCCAAATGGCGTAATAAACAACATCGGGGAACTGCTCGACAGCATTTTGATTCTTACTTGTTCGAGTTTATGTACAGACGTTTGCACAAAAAAACTGAATTTTTTTCCTGCTATGTTGGAAGACATAAAAAATTTAAAATTTTATAGCACCAGTTTAATTGCAAGTATATTTAGCCTTTTTTTCATACAGTAATACAAAATTGTATTATATGAAATTAACGTCTCATCTAAATTAAAAGAAAATCGAAATAGGTATTTACGATATATTCCATCAGTTATTTTAGGATTTTTTTTTATAAATAAAAAATTGTATGATGTAATTAACCTTTTATCTAAATTAAATAATATCTGAAACATTTATTTACTCTTATGCTTCCATTCTCATGTTTAGCCTTTTTTATATAAATTATAATAATGAAAAGTACTATATGAAGGTAACTTTTCATCTAAATTTAAACGTCAATCTTAAATAGTTATTTACTATTATACTTCCTTTTTCTTGCGTTAGGGTTGTCGCAATTATTTTTGGCAGCATTGGCATCAACAATAGTTTGGAAACAATAGTTTTCTTTTACGGCCCTCAAAACCGAATAGTACCGTCTTTACTCATAAAATTAACAACAGAACAGTTAAACATTTATATTACACATTATAACAATAACCATTAACCACTTGCGCTACGACTAAACTTCACGGTTGTAGTGCCGTGTGCTACAATATAACAATCAGTAAAGTGTCTCATTTATGATGCTCTGCCTCTGCGAGTGCATGTGTGATTATGGCAAAGCCTCGAGGGCCATCTGCATAAGGGGTGGGATGCCTTCGTGGAGGACTTTCTAGGGAAACTGGCTCGTATACACGTTACACATGGGGAAAACCACGAAAATGCCCATGCAGCCAGCTGTTGGCATGATTTGAACCTCAGACCAAACTACCACTGTTCAGCAACTTTACCGCTCGGCCACTGGTGGCCCCGCCCCTGCGAGTGCAATCCAGAGCTGTTATTCGAGAAATAAACAATCTCGTTGTTAGGCGACGTGTGCACCACGTTATTTTCATTTTTGCACGCGGTTTGAGACAAAAGCATCTCGACGTGCGTGGCCCATCTTTTTAGCACAAGTGGTTAAAATAGTCAAATATTGTTTCTTTTCACTTAGTTTTTTCAAGTCAATTGAACCAAAATAAACTAATATTTAAAAATAATTTTATCAGGCACAAACATCTAAACAGTGAAACAACTTTTTACAAACTCAACCATTCGAAAATTTTCGATTTTTTAACAATCAGAAATGGAATAACTTGCCATCACAATGATGGTTTCTTCAATGCTGAGTAAAAATTCGTTGAGCTTTTAGTCATGCTGTCAGTTTTGATTATTTTACTACTACTTCCAGTATCATATAATCACCATTTTGATTCTCAGTGGTTTTTGACACTGCTGAACATCTTAAATGTAGCCCCAGTTTCTTGACACATTAATCTAAATTTTGAATAATAAAACAGTATTTTTTTTTTTTTTTCCTATTCTTCACTGCACTGTACTGTACGTTTTCCTCAAGTCTTTTTCTTACTGAAAACATACTACAGGAAGATCAACGAATAAACCGATTTAAAAATTAAATATCTCTACAACAAAAAACAATAGAATTAAGTGATAACCTGTACATTATGCAGTAACCTTCACTGCACTGTACTGCAATGTATTCACTGCACTGTACTGTACGTTTTCTTCAAGTCTTTTACTGAAAACATACTACAGGAAGATCAGCGAATAAGCCCTGATTTAAAAATTAAATATCTCTACAACAAAAACCAATAGAATTATGCGGTAACCTGTACATTTATTAGCAAAACTGTACAAATGGTGTGAAAAAGTTTAGAAAATTTAGTTACGAAAATCGTTAACAGATGGCGCTCTGCGCTGAAATCTTTCTCTGAAAGGAATAAAAAAAATTAATTTAAAAAATAAAGTGAAGCATCCTTTGCAATCAAAATACAATTTTTTCAAAATGTTCACCGTTCGAAAATGAGGTTGGCGTAAACGAACAATGAAATTTGACATCACGTCTTGCAATGTCTTGACAGAAATGAATTCACATGCAACACCAATCAACAATTCAAGCTCATATAGAGTAGCAGGATTGTTTCACAGACAACTTCTCTCAATGCACTCCACAGAAAGAAATCATAAGGACTCAGATCGGGAGAATATGGAGGCCAAGCTATTCCTGTGTCAGTAAATTGAGGATAATCTAACGCAATTACTCTAGAAATTCCAAATACTCTAAAGTATTCATGAAGAGAGTGAAAAACTTTATTTGTTCGATGTGGTCGAGCCCCATCTTGCAGGAACCAGTCGATACCTGGTCGATCCTCCAACGCTAGTCAAGTGTTGATAAATTGTTCCAAAATTGTAATGTAACACTCAGTAGTTATCGCTTCTCGTACGAAAAAAGGTCCTATAATGCCTCTGGCCTTCGGCTAGTGTAGAAAGAAAGTGAAGTAATGTATTCCATTGAACAATGTGTATTTTAATTCTGGAATTTCACAGATTTGAACACAGTCCTACGACAACACATTGCAGTTTTCAAAACCGATTCAATGTTCCAGTTGGACCCGATGCGAAAACCATTCCATGCTCTTCGCGAAATTCGAATGGACTGGCAGCGTGGCTGATGATCGAAAGAGAAATGTTGGGCCTAAGCAAACTGTAGTCACTCCTGAAAATGCATCCAAAGTTTCTGGATTTGTTCAGCAAAATCCTAGGAAAAGCATCAGATGGATTGCATCAGACAGGTATGAAGAATCGGTTTTGAAAACTGCGACGCGTTGTCGTAGGACTGTGCTCTAATCTGTGAAATTGCAGAACCAAAATACACGTTATTCAATGGAATATATTATTTCACTTTCTACGCTAGCCTCTTTTCACTAGCCAACAGTTGTAAGGATCATTTTCAACTTTGGAGCACATTTTAAAAGCTATTGATAGATCATTGCAATTAGAGTGCCATCTGTTAACGATTTTCATAACCAAATTTTATAAACTTTTGTACACCATTTTTACAGTTTTGCTAATAAACGTACAGTTTACTGCATAATTCTATCAATCTTTGTTGTAGAGATATTTAATTTTGAAATCAGGGCTTATTCACTGATCACCCTGTATATTGAAGACAGCAACCAGTCAGTCTGTGCATCAGGGCAGAATATGTTATATATGATAATCATGTGGTTGCACAAGCCTTTTCATTATTGCTTCTTCAAGCAGCTATATTGTCAGAGTTCCAACATGATTCTTGAGATACTAGGTATAAAATCCCTACAAACTGCTTAAGAAAAAAGCTAGAATATTTTT